CATACAGTATCACACAGTGACAACAGCCACAGAGTGCAGTCTGGGAGGTTCAGGGTGGACGTTAGGAAGTTAAGTCCTCACCAAAAGCTCGGCACTATCCTGGACCGCCTATCCCAGGAACCTGCCAAGGAGGTCACCCTTCCTGGAGGGCTCTGACACTCAGAAGACAAAGCCACAGATGACTTGACCTAGYGGTGGTGACGGTCCTGCCCTGAACACAACACTGGAGCTCCAATCCAATCCAACTAGCATTTCTATTAAATTAGAAATCTTCTGAATATGTGAACATTTTTTTTTTCCCAAATTTAATTTTGCTGAGTTCAGCAAAAGAGTACCATGGACTATTTTTTTTTTTTATTTTGAGAAATTATGGAGAATCATCTATTGATACTTCAAGCCTTGACATTCACCAAGTCCCATCCTCATCAGTGATACATACAGTGATTACTCTAACAGCTTACGCTCATTAGAATAAGGCACTGTGATCTTCAGGCAACCCCTACTCCAGCGAGCCCAACAAAACCATAGGCTTCAGTGGTGCAGTTGCCACCCAGATCCCAGGAAGGCTGACATAGACCGTGTGGAGGCAGCAGCTTTACTGCAGATGGCACCTGGGCCAGCTCCATAAAGGCCATATRCTACAGTTATTACTACAGTTCTATTTCCAGCTGCAATAGGTATATGACACAAGGGGCTACATCTTAAAAGAAAGCCTAAATGTGTCCCGAACAGTAGGTTGCTTAAAAAACAGACATTTCTTAAGCATACACCGCATGCCAATTTTATATATATTTATATAAATATATGTATTTTATGCATATTTATATATTAAAAAAAAAGCTTATGAAAATCATACTTTTCCAACTTCTTTTGAAAGTTAATCATCCTCAAATGCTTGTAGAGACAAAAAAAAAAAAAAAAGGAAATGGAAGCCTATGACTGGYGAAGTGCAGGAAACCAAGACCTAGCAAGTTACAAGCAAAGCTTCTCGCTTGATTCCCAGTTGCAGACAAAATTGCACTGTAACCAGAGCAGATAGCCAAGTTGTAGGTGAAACTGCACTCTGACCAGAGCAAATGCCTATCGATTTTGGTAGGCACTCAGGAAGGGCTCTTGGTACTTCTACAGACAGGCTCTATAGCGGGGTCTGCAAAGCCACTGCTGCCACCTGCTGTGGCCTTTTCCTTGTGACGATAGAAAAATAGGCCCTTAGTAATGCTGCTGCCTAAAGCTTTTGTCTTCCCACTGCATTTGTGTGGGATCACCCGCTCAGGAAAAAAAAAAAAAAAAAAGGATTAAATGATTTTAATCTCATTTCTTTTGGGTGATAGTTCATTCTGCTGTAGAAATATTTTGTGAAGTGCAGTGATGACTACAGCATTTACCTGATCGAGGAGAGCACACCGAATTGTTTTCTATCTGCTGCTTTTGTGGCCGGCAGCGCTATGCAAACACAGACTACATGATGTGGCATTTACAGTGTTAATCTCTGTGACTGAAGCTTGGTTGTGGTGTAGAGCTTATGGGACAGAATGTAAGGACATCTGCATAAGAGATACTATATCCTATGGTCTCACCCCAAAAAGAAGTCCAAAAACAATTTACTACTCCTTTTTTTTTTAATCCAAAAACATTTCCTAGATTATTTTTTCTATAAAAATGCTTTTTATTCGAGTTTAGAAGGCAGCTCTTTTAAAACTGCTCCAGGTGTATGCGAAACTGAAATTCCATTTTCAAACCAGTTCTCTGTAAGATTGCTTCTCTTTGGAAAATATTGGGAAAAGTGGCACCCTTATACCCAAGAGACCACTTTTAGTGACTTTTTCAGATCAGAGAGGTATCAAACCACTTGATGTTCCTCTGCCTTCCATATTTAAACACCGTGACACTGACAATGGAAAACAAAGCTAACTGCTCCTCAACACTGCCTATTATTAATGCACGCAGTTGTACTATTAACATACAAAATCTCGCCCACTCAGCTGCATTTCTGAAAAAGGAAGTTAAAGACCATTTCTTGGGGCTTCTCATGTAGCTTCATCTGCSACCCTGGCACAGGCTGCCCAGGGAGGTTGTGGAGTCTCCTTCTCTGGAGGTCTTCCCAACCCACCTGGATGCYGCCCTGTGCCCCGTGCTCTGGGTGTCCCTGCTGGAGCAGGGGGCTGGACTAGATGATCTCTGGAGGTCCCTTCCAACCTCAACCAGTCTGTGATCCTGTGACTTTCATAATTCCCTTTTTACTGTTGTCCATCTGCAAAGAATGAAGCACGGGGAAGTTGCTTTGTGGTGACACACTACCAACCAACGTGCTGGGAGTGACAGCATCAACATCTTCTTTTGGAGCCATCAGGCAAGGCAGAAGTGGCCTGAGATGATGCTCACTTTGCCAATCAGTGGTAAGTAATGCACCCAGCAGATGCTTCCACCTGAACAGCTAAGAGTTTCAAGATTGCCAGTTAATAGAAAGTGATAGTAAAATCTGGATTAAAATATACCTTGACACACATGTTCCACGCAGGAGCCAAGCAGTATCCGTGTGGCTACATGGCAGTGAGAACACTCCAAATGCAAAGGATTTCTCTTGTAATTACTGTCACTGAAAATCTTGGCTGCATCAGAATAGCTATCCACTGGATTTACAAGCAGGACCAAATGCCCAGAGCCTTCTTATGAAGAAGAGTTTTCTGGATAATAGGACTACACCACGATCACTTCCTTAAGGGCATCACCTCCTTGTGCTGACATGGGTTGTATGGAGCAGATTTAAGCAAAGTTAAGATCCTGCTGAGGCTCAGTGAGGCCAGAGCTAAGGGTGTACTTTGCATTTTGATATTTACCACAAACAGGTAATGCAGTAGTACACCTTGCTTTAACTGAACAATAGAAATTGATGTAAAATTTGTTGCAACTGATTTAAGATTCATTTAGAGATCTGATTTAGTTCTCTGGCTGTAACATCCCTAAGAAGCAAGTAAAAGCAGCTGGAACCTACTTACGCAGACGTGCTGAGAAGGAAGCACTGAAGTATCTTCAGTGCTCCAGAAAACTGTGTCCAAACATAGGCTCAAGTGAAAGATAGAAGCTGCTATGATCAACTCTCCTCCTGACAAACCACACGGGACAGTAAGAACCAGCAGCAGCAGGTGTAAAGAAGTTTTCTCAACCTCCAAGTAGTTTGCAACTGCTGGCAAACACTGGGTCCCCATATAAATCGTTAAGTTTCATAAAGAGGATGAATTCAGCACCTGTTACTGCAGCTCATATGCATTTAGTATCGAATGGGTAAAACACCAAAATGGAGCCCTTCACTTACCAAACTCATAAGCTGAGCAAGCAAAAGAACAATAGAAGCATGATACAGATCAGGAAGAGTATGGAAACAAGTATTTCAGTACTCAATCTGTAACCACCTAATCAGTCGTAAGGTGATAAGGAGCAGGCTGTGAGTCAAAAGACAGTGGGTTTGCCAAGGTCAAGCTGCGTCAATCTCATTTAGCTGCTTTCACTGGCAGCGTCCCTGGGCTGAGCGAGCTGGGCCTGTTCAGCCTGGAAAAGCGAAGGCCTGGAGGGAGGACCTGATCGGTGTGTATAAATACCTCAAGGGAGGCAGTGAGGAGGAGGGGRYGGCCTCTTTTCAGTGGTGGCTGCTGATAGGACTGATAGGCAATAAACTGAAGCACCAGAAGTTCCACAGGAACTTAAGGAAAAATTTCTTAAGAGRGAGGGTGACAGAGCCCTGGCACAGGCTGCCCAGAGAGGTTGTGGAGTCTCCTTCTTTGGAGATCTTCCAAACCTGCTTTGATGCAGCCCTGTGCCACRGGCTCTGGGTGACCCTGCATGTGCAGGGGGGTTGGACTAGATGATCCCTAGAGGTCCCTTCCAACCTGTAGCATTCTATGATTCTATGTCCTCGTTGTTCAACTGGTTGTAGAAAATGGAGCTTTAGGGACTAGGAGAAACTTAACGCCAGGAAACTGCTCAGAACAGCAGTGCCTAAAAGCATCTGCTGGCAGCAGGAGAAGGGTWGAGAAGTGGAGCACTGCAGAGGGGCCTCCAAGAGGGCAACATGGAGTGCAAGAGCAGCGTGAAGATCCTGTGGTCAGCAAGCAGGTCAGCACTTCTCATTCTCTCCTAGTGGGGAGAGAAAGAGTCTCTAGACTCTAGACTTACAGTCTAGAGTGGAAGGCACCAGTAAAGAGCAGAGTGCTGTGACCCACTCGAAGCACAGCATACTAAGAAAGGTGTTGACACACATTATGTGAGACTTTTAATTTTGAGAAAAACATAAAGGTTAAAAAAAGATGAGGTAGGATCAGTATAGGAAAGACAGCTGATGAGGATGGTCTTCATATGCCTACAGCAGAATATTTAGGTAGATTCTGTATGTTTGGGAAATAGAGTAATTGTGAAAGGCTAAAGGTAACAACTTAAAGAAGCTGTGGAWTCTGCTTTGTGGGAAGCTTCTAAATAACAAACATCAAACATAAGCACCACTTAAAAAAGTTCTGTACATATTTGATCTGCTTCAGTAAAACTGAAATTGAACAAATGACCTCTGTTTTCCTTCCAATATGTGTTTGGTTCTACAGCTACCAAGGATAACACTTCATCTTGCATTGTCACATCTTTTTTTTTTAAACTTACTGGAAGAAAAATAATTAAAAAGAAAGATGTAGATGTTCAGCACAGATTTGGTAAACAAATTCAAATAACTTGTTTTTTGGATGTTAACATTATTCCATGTTACATCACCAGGAAATGAGCTCAACTAAAATAACAGAAACTTCTTTTCTGAAGACATGTRGAATGCCTAATACAACAACAACAAAATAATTTATTGCTAGTGATTGTATATTACAATTTAAATATTTTCATATTTCCGTATCAGTCTTTAAAGACAACCAGAAGACAAACAGTACAAACAAGCAAACAACAAAAATTAGAATTACTAATGACCCTATTATAATCATTTTCAATAAACCTAGTGTTTTAGACTGATCTCCTGAATGCTGGAATTCCAAAATGGAATATTGCCACAAAATATCTATTTGTTTTTAGATCAGAGTAAAACCTGTGAAGAAAGAATGCTTAAAAACAGTACATAYGACTTATTTTACAATTACTGTTAAGACGCTTATAGGTTTCAGGAGGCAACCTACTAGCATCATATGTATAAAAATACAAAACTGCCTTTATAACTAAGGTATTCRTTTGTTCAGATCAGGTTTCTTGGGATACAGCCTTCTATCTGGATTTCAGCTGGCCAGCCACCGTACCTGTTATTCTTGTCAGAGTGGTTTATCTATTAAAAAAAAAAAAGGAAGAAAAAAAGTATTTTTTAACCTTTTACAAGCTGATTTGTAACACCTCATTTAGCAGAAAGGGGAAAACAGAGTAAGACTGGGAATCTACAAGTTATGTTGGTCATCTTGCTTGTCGTAACAGGAGAAAAATTCTTTCTTATGTACAATGATATATTTATTTTCCAGGTGGATGTTGTAATATAGACTAAATGAAAAACTTGTTTTTCTCCCTGTGGAAGCTCTATGATGCTAAGAGGATCGCAACAATATTCTAGGGTAAATTAGCTATGGAAATTTAACATGTCTTTGAAGAGACTCAGTATCATAAAGGGAACAGAATTCTGAGTTGGGTCTTTTCTGCTTTTCTCTGTGATGCAGAAAAGGCAGTTGTGAGCTTACAGCAAGCAGATAAAACAAAGCCACAGATAAAATCAGAAATATGATATAAAAAGGGCATCTTACTCATGGAGCTTGAAGAGAAGTTATTCGTAACAGCTCTGTGATAAAAGCATCACTTTGCTTGCATAGCCAATATGAAACAGKCCAATTTTCAGACAAAACAGCCTTGAAATTGTGTAACTCCTTGGAACTGTTCTTTTGGAAGAAAATGTAAGCCTCTGGACAGCACGTCAGGCTGCAAATTTCAAAACTGAGATTCTCTGGAATAACTGATCACTTCTGTAAATATGTTGGAGAAGGACAAAGCAGTCACTAAAGGATTTAGTGCCATTGTGGTAAAAGCTGTCCCAAATCCAAATTAAGTAGGGGAATACATTAGAGAACTTGTTTTGTACAACTGGGACTTACGAAACAGACTGCAGTTATTGTAGTTGCACTAATAAATCTGTACCTGAAAGACATACCTGAAAAAAAACCCAAATATAAAGTGAAAATATATTGAACTTGACCTTTTCTTTTTGGATATTATCTGGCAGCTTGAAGCCTTTGGCAGCTACAAAGGCCCAGCTTGACCTAAACTTCATATTCTTTATTTCTTTACTTCCCAGCTTTTCTACTACTTGTTTGGCATCATTCTTCAACCTAGGAAAATTTAGCACAAAGAAAATTGTTAAAAATGCATGACATCATTTAAAAAAGCTGAAAAAGAAGACAATTCATGGTTTACATAGTAGGTCAGCAGAAACAGCGAGAAGTCTAAAACTCCCACTATCTTGAAAGCTTAGTAGAATACATGAAATTCTAAAAGCAAAATCTTTCTTTCTTCCTCTGCAAATTCCTGGTTTTAATAGAATCTGTTTGTAATAGTATAACAGAAACAAAAAGGTATCTCAAATACTATTTGATATTTCATCTCAACAAGGATTAAAGCATGAAATTTTTATTACCAGCCAAATGAATTAAGATTTTGCCTGCATAATCATGAACCCGTACCATGACCATGAATTATTTTATCATGAATTCAAACTGAAAAACCCTAAAATCTGACAGCACTAAAAGAATCAGGTGAAGATGTGCAGAGGAATGTAAACTAAGTATGTTTTACTTGGAGCTGCAGACCCCATCTGAATAGAGAGTTGCAACCCAGAGGTAGTATCAAAGGCTTTTAAGAGGGTAAATAAGTGGATTTTAAACAAATACAAGACCATCTGTTCATCTTTGAAAGCTTCATAATATATGATATAGGCAAGCATGGGATGGGCCTGGATTCAAAACCTCTGAGAGACACCCCTACAGAAACAAAACTATTTGTTGCTGTACAGTATTTTGCAATTATGATTTTCAAGCTTTCCTTTGCTCTGTTCTTTAGTCTACCATGAATGACTTACCGGGTGCTTCCATCATCATGGGTCACCATGAAAAGCAGGGATCCCTGTGGTGCATTTTCAATGAAAGCCACCATCTCTGCAGAGTGGTCTGTAAAAGCAATACACAACTGATTGCTTGTGTCTCTCTGAGATACATACATAGCACACACCACSTACTTTCTCCTAGGTTCAACTTGTTCTCATGTTTTTGGCATTGTCTCTTGAAAATGACACGTATTTTTGATGACAGGCAGTGGGTTTTCAGCACTGGAAAGGTGCTGAAAGCTCCTGCCTCTCACTGAAGCCTATGGGAGCACAGATTGATGTGTAGTTCTCAGTATTAAACAAAAATATTTATTCTGAGCTTCTRAAAGAAAATCATTTAAGCTCAAGATTGTAAGTAGACTTCATATTGTAAGACTTCATATTGTATTGTAGACTTCATATTGTACTGTAAACTTACTTGTAAGTTTACTTCATATTACATTATACATGCAAACAAAGCAGGGAATAGACCAGRAGAAGTCCTTTCTCTTCTGTACCTTTATTTTTGTGAGTTTCTTGCTAACTAAGCTGGCCAATATGCCTGACTGCATGCCCATATTTATTAAGAGGGCAGCCTATCTAGAGCACTGAGCTATTGCTTTTCCAATTGCCAAACATATACAAGGCACAAGACTGAAATGATGGAGAACAGGTGACAATAAATGTGAACTAGCTCAAACGTCAGGATAAATACGGCTTTTCCGAGAGTTTGTCATCAAACCTGGCTACAGCATATTTTAGTAAAGACTAAAATGCTTTGTTTCTAGTAAATCCACTTTAAAAAGACAATCATTATCATTTGAAAGAAAAGGGTAATAATTTTAAAATAACTCTCTTTTGAACACTGAAATGTTAACAAATGATCTTTTTGACCTACCTCCATCCCACATGTCAAAAAAATTTGTTGCTACAACTTCTCCTGTTTTATCTGCATTAAAAAAAAAAGAATGCAAATGTAAGGCAAATATAAGGTAAAGTGATTAGATTTGATCAACATGCACAGCAGTTTCAGCTACAGCTAGGTATGTTCAATATTCAGTATTATTGTGCTTCATTTTTTGTTTCATTTGAACTTTGAAATTGGAAGGAATCCGTAATAATGGAAATTTAAGCTTTGCGCGATCACAGTCAGCTGAAAAAAATCTCTTCTTTTCAATATCCTAGGACAGACCTGAAAACTGTCAAATAAAATCAAATAAAATCAAATAAAGTCAAATAAAATGTGTAATTAATATATAAATTTTTCAACTAAATTCACTTGCCTCCCAGCACATTGAATCTGAGTCATCAAAYGTAATAAAAATATTTCTATTAATTTTAAGAATGAATTAAGATTATTGTGAACTTGTGTTTTTATATGTGCATGTACTATAGTGACCTATATTATGTCATAACTATAAATATGGGCTAATGGGTTAAGTTTGATACTATTTAAAGGGGTCTAAGACTATTCCATATAGTCCTTCAGATGTGCCAACTTTCATGTCATTTCCATCTCAGTGGACAGAAACTGGGCACTCTGGCCTCACTGCTAGACCACAAGTGGGTATGCAAACGTTTAGTCATTTCAGGACATTTTGGTCCATATTCATGGTTAATTATGCTGCTGAGAGACCAAACACTCTTCATTTTCATGAGACACATAGAATGGGAAGCACTTTACACATTTCTAAATCCATGCTAACTGAACTAGTTGATTTTGGTTATCGAAGACACATACCCTTGTATGTGAGATGTTTTTTTCCATTCAGAGTGCTATTGGCTCATCTCTAAAGAGAAGATGCAGCAATTCCTGTTCCCTTTATGGCTTATGCTCAATTGATACATGGCAAAATCATGGAGGAGAGTTCTTCCAAACACACACAGGAYTAAAAGCTGAGTTTATCAGGTTGATAAGGGGAAAAGGTGATAAATTCTGTAAGTGGTAAATCAATATTCTAGAGCTGGTCTTCTCAGCAAAGAAYAACAACAAAAAGACTGCAGTGAGGACAGCAGAAAAATATAATTATTTTTCTGTCTCTCTGAGATGTTAGTTTGGGCTTATTAATTATGTCTTCTTTCTTACAAAGGGCCTTGTTCATTCAGAGAAAAAAACGTTATCCTTATGGAATGACTGTGATGCTACAGGATATGTATTAAATACAGCTATTAGCTAGACTGATCTAATTAGGAGATATGCAGAAAATACTTGTAAGTGTAATTTGGTTGGAGATAACAAACAGATTTAGTGGCAGGTGAAGATTTAAGTTAGCTGAGATAYATCTCAGCTAACTATATGATGAAGAAAATGGTTGTTCAGCCTTTAAAAAATGTGACTACAACAATTTGATACAATACTTTTTTTCCCTCACTAATGTCAATATAAAACTAGTTCCCTACTCCTTTTTGATATCATCTTACTTAAACATTCAGGGTCACTATTTGTCCTCTTAGTTTACAGCTGTGTGCTAAAAACTCATTTTTAACTGTTTACCTCTTACAGACAGCATAGTTTTTACCACTCCTTATCAGAAATTTTAAAAGCATATAGTTCTTAACACATTCATCCCAAAAAAAAAGAAAAAGGGAGAGAGAGAGACAAAAATAAAAGATACATATACTTTGCTAGTATAATTTAATATGCTGGTATCATTAAAAGCATGTGAGATAAAGACACCAGAGCAAAAACATTGTGATCAAATCTGAAAGGACATGCACCTGAACTGCTTCTTTTTCCCTCCCCCCTCAGCATGTGTGCATTTATTCTTCTCAGGATCCATTATCAAATACACCTTTTTTTTTTTTACCAAGAACTGAGTCTGCAAATTGAGTCTTACTATTGGAGGCCTTGGTATTTCTCCCATGTTACTCAAAAAGTAGTTATATTTTTGTCTAATAAAATAGTATCACACATCCACATAAACATAGAGCACTTCTACTTACCTGTTATCTCTTTGCTTATACAGCTTTTGAGGAAATTTCGTTCATTTACAAGATTTTTTTCTTCCAAATACCACGTTATACTTAAGCTTAACAAAAATCTAAGTTTGTAACTATTTCCTTTTCATCCACACTAGCTAGTAAAAAAATGAACTTTAAAAAGGTGATTTCAGTATAAACATATCTAACATTTATTCTCTTACTTACAATTCACAATGGCAATGTTTATACCTCTTCCAACATTACCCTTTGCTTCACTTATGAGCCTGAAATTGAAATAAATAGAATCTCAGTAGGATTTACCCCTCCAGAAGGTCTCGTCCAAAAATTGTATTCATCTACGCTGAGTCACTTTCTGATGTTCCTGATTTTTACTTTTTTTCTTTCTCTCCAYTATTTAATTAAAGACCCTGTAAAGAGCTGTAGCTTTAAAATTTTGCACATTACGCCTATGAAACAGCTGAACTTGGAGGAAAGGAAACCAGTTTGGGAAGATACTTTGTACAAATGCAGCTAGAAGGACGAAATAGAAACCAGACCACAAAAGAAAACGCAGTTCTGAGGAAATATTTATGTGAAATGTATCTGCACAAAGATTGTTTCAGGATTTTGAAGCCATTCTACCTGCCAATTTGAGAACCACAAAGGAATAGGACTTACAGCAAGTGCTGCCCATTCAACTATCAGGGCTTTTGGCAGCTTTTCAAACTGGCTATCCCAAACCCGGACAATTAAGTTAACTCCATTTGAAACTAAGTGTAATGCAGTTTTTGTAGAGTAAATAACACGGRATTTTGTTATTTAAAAATGAAATAAACTTCAGAACAAATCTTAAAATGTTTATCTCCAGTGAAATACTAACAGTTAAAGATCTTTCAATCTCAGGTTAAAGGATTGAGAGGGCAATCTTCCAAGAATTCAGATTGCCACTATTCGGCAATAAACACATCAGAGCTAATAAATGAAGCTTAATCAAACAGTTTGGAAAAAGAACTATGGCAGGTAAACTGCCCAGAAACTATGTGCAGTTTAGTGCTGGTTAGAGGAAAACATGCCCTCCACTGGAATCAGCCTTAATGCTGTGATCTCTGTGACAACTCTGAGCTGTTTCAAATGGAGAACACACAAGGAGCAGTGAGAGAAAAAATTAAGAGGGCTTTAAGAAGTATATTTGTACATATATGTTCAAGCCTACTGCCTCTAAAGTTGTCTACCATTTCTTTTGAGTCTTTATTTTATGCCAGAGTTCCACAGTAATGGATTGTCTTGGTTTGAATCATTATCATATAGGCTGGAGAAAACTGTAAAGAAGCTGGACTCATGAAGCATGATGCAGAAAAGTTTGCACAAAACTTAAAAAAAAAAAAAAGTTAGAAATGAAAAGACAGTAATTCCGAATAAGACAGCATGGAAAACTCAAGAGGCTTCAGAATTAGGGCATGCTTAGTAGCACTGAAAGAAGTCACCAAGGGCTATCAATGGTAGCCTTTGTTTGCATATGCTTCTATCGAAGAATCCTTTTCCCCCAGCTATGAAACATCTTTCCTCATATTACAAAATGCTTGCTTAGATTTGCAGTTTGACTGGTACTTACAGCTCATCCTCAAAACAAATTTTCGCCAGCTTTTCCTTGCCCCCCCCACTAAGGACTCGATAGGCGTAGCTCCCGGGTGCGCAGGGAGACCAGTGGTCACACTTCTGCCTTTTGGGCGCTGGGGCTGAAACCACAGAAATAAAAAAAGGAAAAAGCAAAAAGAGGAGAATTTTTTTTTGAATGCTACAAAAGAAAAAAAAAATCTTTACAGAGAAAGAACCACTTAATGTCAACACACTAAGCTTAAACGTTTTAACAGTCAAATTCTGCCACTTTTCCAATATTTTAGTAACACTATTGCAAATCTGCATGGGCTTTAAGGTATCACTGACTTTCAAACTACTGCTGGGAACAAAAGGAAGATTATTTAGGTGAAAAAAAATGTCTCATATATTCTTGATTTGAGCCAGATCATGCTAAGTATTATTTAGCTTTTTTTCATATAACAGAAAACAAGGGCTATAAGGATGAAGAACTTCTACCAGTACAATCTTTTCCTTGCTTAGTAACTTAAAATTAATAGCTATTGTTCTAATGTTAAGTCCTGTTTCATATGAAAACATAGCAATAAAACGAGAAAAATGTATGCAAAGAAACTACCTAGTCAGATTAGAGGAAAAGAGTAACAATGAAAATTTCAGCACAAAGTTTGATTAGGGATCCAACAAAGCTACTCTAGTCATAAAATAATATTTATTACTAATTATATTATAATACATTAATATATACATATAAATATATATGTGTATATATATTTTCTATATACTAGAATCAAAGCTGCTTCTTTGAAGAACTATGCTTATATACAAGCATATAAGGTATTCTTATTTCTTATCAGTCACTTAAATTTATTTGCAAGCCTGCAAATACAAGCTGACATTTTGTTTCTTCAAAATAATGCCTAAGGGATAGTTCAGCTTTACACTAATTAATTAACTTTATTCAGCCAGCTAATTCTTAGGTGAACAGCACATCATTTGTTTGCTAAGTACATTACATGTAAACCTAGGAAAAAATATTATATACCCCTTATCACTGGTTTCTTTCCAATATCTTGAAGATTAGTGATAGATGCTGACAGAACCTCTTCAGATACAAGAGCACTGAGAAAGTATCCCAAGTACCAAGAAAACAATGTTGCCAACAGAAGTCCCGATAATTTCACAAAACCTGTTATGAAAAAGAATAGATTGCAAAGATATAAAGACTTTTGATAACAACACACAAGATCTTATATATTTTTCTGGCACTGTTACAGAACTAGTAATTTTATTTCTGATACAGTGGCTAAACGCAGCCTTTGGAGATGCTGCAATAGAGCATTTGTGGTGTTCTTCTTTCGGCCGTCTCTTTCATTTCTAAAACTTGATCTTCAAGCAAAAACACCCGACTTAATCCACCCTCGAATCACAACCGCAATGCCCCAAAGAAGCAAGAAGTTCAGTAAGATTTTGACTCTGAAAAATAAGTAACAGATACCTATAGAGGTGATTATCCAAGTAGTATGCAGTTATCATTGATATTGTGGAACAGGCCAACACCACAGGAATTGTTTAAAATCTCTACACTACACAGAGAGTACAGTGACCTCCCTTCACCCACTTGATGCCTTGGAAAAAAATACCTGAAGAAGGTCCAAATAATGCCACACACACAGTGAGCTCTGACTGCATTCAAATATGACTAGAGTGATTGCTCCCCCTTCTCTCAATTAGATCACAGTATCCATGGGCTTTATTACCAGTGCGACTACAGGCTGCAAAAAAWAACTAGGATTCACAATTTTCCTGACTGGAAAGACATAAAATAAATGTCCATATATATGTCCTCATTATCCATATATGTCCATATATGTCCTCATTATCAGAAATGCTGTCCTGCATTCGTGGTCTCACAGAAGTATGTTCCCTAATTTACCATGCTCAGCAATGAGGTATCATACTGCAGGTCAAAAGGCTGAYAGTTTAAGGTGATCAGATGGACACMTAACTCTGCACAGTTCATTTATTGAAGGATTATTTTGGTCAGTACATAAAAGCTGCCTTTTTGAAACAGGCARCAGACCAAAGTATGCAGGAAAACCCAGCTCTGTAATGAAACAGAATCACAGGATCTTTAAGGTTGGAAGGGACCCCTGGAGATCATTCAGTCCGCCCAGAGCACGGGGCACAGGGYGGCATCCAGGTGGGTGTGGAGCATCTCCAGAGAAGGAGACTCCACAGCCTCCCTGGGCAGCCTGTGCCAGGGCTCCRTCATCCTCACAGTGAAGAAGTTCTTCTTCACATGCAGATGGAACCTCCTGTGTTTCAACTTATTATCACTGGCCACCACCAAGAAGASTTTGACCCCATCCTCTTTACAACCTCTCATCATGTACTTACACATATCGATCAGATCCCCACTCAACCTTCTCTTCTCCAGAGAAAACAGGCCCAGCTCACTCAGTCTCTCCTCATAGCAGAGCTGCTCCAGTCCCTAATCATCTTTGTTGCCCTCTGCTGGGCCCTCTCTAGAAGCTCCACATCCCTCTTGTATGAGGGAGCACAGAACTGCATCCAGAACTGCACTTCAGGTTCAGCCTCACCAGAGCTGAGGAGAGGGGCAGGATCMCCTCCCTTGACCTGCTGGCAACACTCCTCCTGATGCAGCCAGGATCCCATTGGCCTTCTTGGCCACGAGGGCACTGCTGACTCATGGTTAACTTGGTGTCAACCAGGACTCACAGGTCCCTCTCTGCAGAGCTGCTTTCCAGCAGGTCGAGCCCTAATCTGTCCTGATGCCTGGGGTTATTCCTKCCCAGGTGCAGGACCCTGCACTTGTCCTTGTTGAACCTCATGGGTTTCCTCCATGCCCAACTCTCCAGCCTGTCCAGGTCCCTCTGAATGGCAGCACAGCCCTCTGTGGAGTGTTGGCCACTCCACCCAGCTTGGTATCATCCGCAAGCTTGCTCAGGGTGCCCTTATCCAAGTCACTGATGAACAGGTTGAACAGCACTGGCCCTAGTACTGATTCGGCACCATCCAACTAGACTCAGCACCAAACACGTCTTTGAACATGATGGCCATTAAAGCAAAAAWGGAGAATTTTGAGTTTCATAGTCCTGAAAATCAATTTTAATAATGTCCAAAAAAACTATGTTCACTTTGCCAACATTATGGTTACAAAATATTTTCTATTGTATAGCCTAAATCTTCCTCATAATTGCTTTCACCCCAGTMCTTGAACCTTGGTGAGGATAAGCACAGATCATTATGAACATGTGAGGTTCTTTTGTAAATTATCCTGATAATCCCTTTGCAGGATCCCCTGCACAAGATGTTGATCCCCTCCTTCTAAGATGTTCAGCTGAACTCCCAGTAAGTTCTCTATCATTATTCATAGCAATCCTGAAAGCACAGACTTATATGACTACAGGGAAGACACTGAGAAATGTGTTATATTTGCATCAGTGGATTAAGATTGGGAGGGTGAATGAATCAGAGATATAACAAATTTCTTCATAAGATTGAGAAGTTAATATAACAAATCAGATATGAAACAAATTCCCTAATTGTTATCTCAGTCTAAGAGAAATCTCTCTTATCCTCCCACTAGTAATAATACAAAACAACACCGAAATAATATTGAAAACCACCCCATCAACATCTRTGTTACATAGAGAATGTGAACATTGACAGAGTTTACACACCACAAAAAAAAGAAGGCATGACCGAAGTAGACAAAATTTACTTCCTTCTCTTTTGGAATATACTTAGATTTACATGTAAAATATTTAATTTRTGAAGGATAGCAAGTCACATTTTTTAAAGGCAAAAAACAATTTAATGAACACTTTTAAGAAGCCTATATAAAGATTTGAGCACTTTTATTTATATGGGGGAGTCGGGGCGGTTGGTAAAGCTCTACGAGCCCGTTCATTAATCCAGTTTTGTGTTTCATATTTTGTTGGTGGCTTTGCAACTTTATCTTTAAAACCATTTTAAATTGTTTTCATCAGAACTATGAAGAACTCTGTCGCAAACTGAGTTAGAGAGTGTGGTATACTGCCTAAGTAGAAGATAAAAATATGAAACATCTAACCTCAGTTATTGCATTCCTGTACTTTACTTAAATCACAAGCTTCTTGAATGTTTCCAAAACATGCCTTTTTTTTTTTTAATGTTGAAGGATTACATTTACTAATTCTCTGCACAATTTGTAGTTAGTCCTCCGAACTGCTGCAGAACATCTCTGCTGTTGACCAACCTCTGGTTTTGCCCTCGTGGCTTTGGCAGCCACGAGGGGACTGCATCGACGTTACCTATTTTTGAAGTTACCTGCTGGACCTTACAGATTTCCTCAAGTTACACACCCTGCACGTGTGTGCCCTTTTCTGGGCACCTGCATGAACATGCAGAAAAACCCTAGACATGAGTAGATGAACTGTAAGTTCAGACAACCTTAAAATAGTTAAAGAGAGCTCAAGATTTTTATATATAACACCCAGAATTGACAAAGTGCAAAGTGAGGTTCACATTTAAAAAAACAAACACGCCCTTCTGTCAGTTTTAGGGGCTGTGACCCTTCACTCCACCATCACATTTGGAAAAAATACCCAATTTGGGAACTGCATGCCCCAGAGAGCCTCCGATAGCCGGCAGGAACCTTCTTCATTTTGCCTTTTAAAGGTGGAGAAGTGCCASCAGCTCAGGGATTCTCAGCAGCAGTCCCAGTGTCTGACAGGAACAGGAGGATGAAAACATGGACAAGACACTCAAGAAAGCAAAGCTGAGGGAGAAGCTTGTGGATGGTCCCACCTTCCAGCTACTCCCGGATTTCCTCCCTCCCTTCGGTGCTTGCTTGTACCACAGCTGCCACTTAAGCATCCAAGTTAAGTGCATGGTTCTTTGGTGGTTAAGTGCTATAAAAATGCTCTTGCTGCCACACCTTGCTACTACGGACCCACCTGCGCAGGGCTTGGTGTCCACAGCAAAGAAAAAGAAATGAGAAAAAAAAATACCCAAGTTTAAATTCAGCCAGGCTAAAAATTTGGGCGGTGGTTGGTTTTAAGGAGTTGGCTGGGTCGCTGACTGAAAGAGAAAGGGAGGAAATTGAGCTTGGTGGCAAGGATGAAGGAGAGGAGAGGAGAGGAGAGGAGAGGAGAGGAGAGGAGAGGGGAGGGGAGGGAAGGGGAGGGGAGAGGCTCCTTGCTGTCACTCCGGTGTCCGAGCTGCGGGACGGGGGCGGCTGCGCTGCCCGCTCCGCCCTTGGCGCCGCCGAGCGGAGCGGCCGCCGCAGAGCCGAGGGCTCCGGGAGAGGTCGGGGGGTTGGGACCCCGCTCCGTCCCTCGCGCCGCCTCCTCCGCGCTCGTCGCGGGGAAGCGCCCGCCGCTCCGAGGCTGCTACTCACTGTGCCGGCTCAGCCACATGTTTCACCGTGTGGGGGGACGGGCTCTCGGCCGCCCTCCCCGCAGCCGCGCTCCTCCTCCTCCTCCTCTTCCTTCTCTCCGGGGCCGGCCCGAGCCCCCCTGCCCCCCCGCCACGTCCCCGTCCCCGCCTCGTCCCGCCGCCTCGCCCCGGAGCCACCTGGACAGCGCAGGGACACGTAGGGGGGGAGGCGGCCACATGCCCGCGCCGCCCCGCGGGGAGGGACGCGGGAGGCTTCCCTGGGGCTGGAGCCTGCCCTTCCCGCGGGGCGGGCGGTGGGGCTGGAGATCTCCGTTCCCGCGGGGCGGGCGGTGGGGCTGGGGTTGGGGCTCGCCCTTCCCGCGGGGCGGGCGCTGAGCGCAGCGGGAGCCGAGGGCGAGGCGCCCCTGGCCGCCATTACGCGAGGCTGGTGCTGAAGGTGCTGGTGGGTGGTAGCTGGGATGCCTTGTCCCGTGGCCGCTGCTCAGGCTCACGCAGACCTCGAGGCACCACCAAAAGGATAGAGGGGCCGCTCTCCTTCCTCCTCTCACGGCCTCGGGATGGGTTTGGCCGGGGTGTCGTATTGTGCCCCCATGGTGGGCAGCAACTGAGGTGCTGGCGGGTGATGGCGGACGTGGATGCCCAGCGCGGCAAGAAGAGACAGCGAGAGGAGGCTTCACCTGCCACGCAGGCAGGYCCGCCCTTTGAGCAAATAAAGTACAAATGCTGAGAGCTGCCCTGTAAGAGGCAATAAACGTGTCTCATGGAAGCAGTGCCAAAAGGTTGACCCATCTGCTGAGAAGGCGGCGCTTGCGCMGGTCGGCAAGCAAGGGCCGTGCTCAGGCCCACAGCCTGTTGGAACAGCTGTTTCCCTCCCCAGTTTGAAAGCACAGCGGTTATTTTGAAGTCTTTGTTGAACCTAAATGAGCAAGTAATAAGCAGATACATACTATTTTGTTTTGTTTTCTGGGAGCGGCTTGGGTATCATCATTATTTTAGCTGATAGGCATGGTGCCGTGGTGCCCTTCTGGCCCTCAGTCGCATGGCAGTGCTGTGCCACCACGAGGCTACCATGGGGCCCGGTGGCAGGTAAGTGGTCTTTGCTGTCCCCCAAAGTATCCATCAGCCCTGAGCCTGAACAAAGAAATGGGCAGCTCAACTCTGTCACCAAAGGACAGACCTGTCAGGACTGCCACAACCACTCAGGAAACTCAGCTCTGGAAACTGAAGAGCTCCAAGCTGGACCAAACCCAAGCAAGGAAGCTCTTTTTTTTTTTTTTTTTTTTTTTTCTTTTTTTTTTTTTAATGAAAAGTGCTCACATAACACTCCCAATCATTATTTTCACTTAAAATCATCTATTTTAGTTTATCATCACCTTTTTTATTGCCTGCACCACAGGTGAAATGCAGAAATGATACGTGATTCAGCAAGCAGCAGAATAAAAATCCTCCTCAGCCAGACTGGGCCTTCCCAAGACACCAATGAAAGCTGTAAAGGTTTCCAGTCACTGGAGAAGAGGCATTCCTTGTCTTTGGCTGGSAGCTGGGATTGTGAAAGTATTGGTGGGATATGGACTCCATGACTAGAAATTATAAGCACTCAGGAGCTTTGCTGCCACCTAAACACACTACTGTAAAAAAACCCMAAAAACCCACAAAAACAGAAGTAGAGATTGGTGGCTCTTGAATAACTGCCCGTTTATCTTCTACACCACAAGAAAGATGTGGTAGATTATCGTTTTTTCATTATTGCGTAAATTATACTGAGCTACACGCAAGCGCTTGTTACAAAACCAGAGAGCACAGTAAGTGATTTTGCCTGGCAGAGTCTAAGGATTCGGTGATGTGTAGCTGAGGAGATTTTAAATGCCAAAGGACTTTTAAATCTTTTATTTCAGGTATCATTTCTGTGAATGCAAAAGAGCAGCAATTCTGTTTTAGCTCTAGTAATGAATCAAAGATGTGGGATACAAAGCACTTTAGAAACATTATTGCTATTCATATTTTAAACATTCATTCTGTAATTTAAAAGCTTAGAGAAAAAAAATTAATCTTCACTCTAGATGCTTGTGAACCTGTCAGACTGTTTGGTGATAAGCTGCACAGAAAATCTATTCATGAAGCAAGAATGGCCCTGCAGACAGCAAATGGCACAATGCTTTTGTGTTAGGCTATTTTTAACGTAAAAGCCACAGTCCTTGGAGGAAGTTTATGGGCTTTTGCTAACACTATAAAATTACAGCAGAACAAGTTCCTGCCTGTCTTCAGAACCTTTGTACCTCCAGAAATGTTTTCTGCATCCACTCCAGTTGGCTAACAAGTCTGTCTCCTCCAGTACTTACTGCACTTCTAGTACATTAGCTATTTGGTTCAAATGGTTTTTGCTCATCTATGAAAGACCAACAATATATATATTCCATATAATCATATAATCATGTGTAATCAATATATACAATATAATCATGCTAGAATAGAGCTAAAGCATTTTAATGATTTAAAATGCAAGGAGGGTTTTTAAGGGAAAAATCATCACCGTTGCATGTAGAAGTGATTATCAGGATAATTTACAAAAGAACCTCACATGTTCATAATGATCTGTGCTTATCCTCACCAAGGTTCAAGGACTGGGGTGAAGGCAATTATGAGGAAGATTTAGGCTATACAATAGAAAATATTTTGTAACCATAATGTTGGCAAAGTGAACATAGTTTTTTTGGACATTATGTTTATTAAAATTGATTTTCAGGACTATGAAACTCAAAATTCTCCTTTTTTGCTTTAATGGCCATCATGTTCAAAGACGTGTTTGGTGCTGAGTCTAGTTGGATGGTGCCGAATCAGTACTAGGGCCAGTGCTGTTCAACCTGTTCATCWGTGACTTGGATAAGGGCACCCTGAGCAAGCTTGCGGATGATACCAAGCTGGGTGGAGTGGCCAACACTCCACAGAGGGCTGTGCTGCCATTCAGAGGGACCTGGACAGGCAGGGAGGAACCTCATGAGGTTCAACAAGGACAAGTGCAGGGTCCTGCACCTGGGGAGGAATAACTCCAGGCATCAGGACAGATTAGGGSTCGACCTGCTGGARAGCAGCTCTGCAGAGAGGGACCTGKGARTCCTGGTTGACACCAAGTTAMCCATGAGKCAGCAGTGTGCCCTCGTGGCCAAGAAGGCCAATGGGATCCTGGCTGCATCAGGAGGAGTGTTGCCAGCAGGTCAAGGGAGGGGATCCTGCCCCTCTCCTCAGCTCTGGTGAGGCTGCACCTGGAGTATTGGGTGCAGTTCTGTGCTCCCTCATACAAGAGGGATGTGGAGCTTCTAGAGAGGGCCCAGCAGAGGGCAACAAAGATGATTAAGGGACTGGAGCAGCTCTGCTATGAGGAGAGACTGAGTGAGCTGGGCCTGTTTTCTCTGGAGAAGAGAAGGTTGAGTGGGGATCTGATCGATATGTGTAAGTACATGATGAGAGGTTGTAAAGAGGATGGGGTCAAAGTCTTCTTGGTGGTGGCCAGTGATAATAAGTTGAAACACAGGAGGTTCCATCTGCATGTGAAGAAGAACTTCTTCACTGTGAGGATGACGGAGCCCTGGCACAGGCTGCCCAGGGAGGCTGTGGAGTCTCCTTCTCTGGAGATGCTCCACACCCACCTGGATGCCACCCTGTGCCCCATGCACTGGTGCTGSAGCAGGGGGTTGGACTACGTGATCTCTAGAGGTCCCTTCCAATCTCAACCATTCTGTGATTCTGTGAAAACAAAAAAATCCCTGCAACTCATGTTTAAGTGAACTAATTGTAACTCAGATTTGGGATAGGGGAGAACATACACACGGACAACATGGGTAGCAGTACAGAAGACTTATTCTCAGGCTGCCATAACTCACCCATACTTCTGTGTGAGCCTGTACCCACAAACCCAGATTGAACTTAAGCTTTCAAAGTTGTGGTTGCATGAAGACTATCTTGGAGAAATATCTCAGATTTTGATGTATATCTTAACACATGACTTTTTATTTCTCCTCTATCCTTTGAAAGTCTTCATGGAGTCCAAGAGTAGATATTTAGAACAAGATGAAAGCTTTTGCATAAGTTCTTTCAAGGACATACTGAAATTAAATAAAAATAGATATGCACAAATGATTCATATACCAGAAAAGGAAGAACGAGCAATGCTTACTTTCAGCTGATTAGCCAGAAAACCTGTAAAACTGGCAAGTCCAGCGCCCAGGAGGTTGACGGGCTGCTTGAAGGTTTGTTTTATACCGGAAGATTTTCCACATCATGGCATATCTGTGTGCATCCTGTGCATCTTGGCACCATCCTGTAGTAGCTCCGGAGGCTCTTCCCCAGCTTACACTGCGTACACCAGGTTTCTGAATAGGGATCCCTGTTGTCATGACTGTGMTGGGCTTTGCTAAGCTGAAGGCAACACCAGAGATCCAAAAGAACAAGTAAATCCCAGTATCCGCTTTTGCAGCCCAGCGTGTGCTCACGGAGCTGGATTTCTTACCAACTGTCCTCTGGAGAGGGGGAAGAAAGTGGAAAGGGCCCATGTGACGTGGCCCAGCACAGCAAAGGGAAGGGGCGAGCGCCATGGGTTGGTCTGGCAGCACGGTGTGGGAAAATGGGGGACACAATTCAGTGAAGGATATTGTAGAAGCAAGCCAGAAGACTACATACACACACTTCAGCAGGTAAAAATCCCTACAAAACAACCTTTGAGATGTAAACCAGTAAGACAATCTCACACATTAAGAAGGAAAGCCAAAGTTAATGTTAAGCTTACAATTAGAAAAGCCTCAACTGATGGCAAAGGGAGTGGGTATTGTTATGAGTAGCTGTCTAGGTGAGCCAGCTTTAAAGGGAAGAGATGAACAAGACCTGTAATCAATTAGTTGTGGCTGCTAATATGCTTTAGATGGTTTTAAAGGTTGGATTGGCAAACCTGAAACACAGGATATTCTGAAGATGGTGGTAGTTTCAGAAGCATAGAAGTATAAGCACAAGGGACAAAAAGAAAACTTGTTTAGTGAATGTGCACAAATAAGCTTCACT